AAGTGAATTTAAATTTAGGGTATATAATGGGATTTTTATTTTAATGAATTTTCTCTGTACTTATCAAAAAGTTTTAAGTTCAGGGTATATGATGAGCTTTATCATAAATTAGGTGCATCAAAGAGAGGATGCTAATGAGGGTTGGCCCAACTCATAGCCTTTTTTATTGTAACTGAATTCGGAATGAATTGGGATCAAATGAGTTCTGTGTTTGGACTTTGGAGATGTGGTTTTTTCTTGGTCTCTCCCCCTCCCTTCCCCCTCTAGTTCTGGAACTCCACTTTTTGCAAGTGTAACTCTTAATCCAGCCTTGTTGTTTTATTGTTTAGTTTCCAGAAAGCATATGAAATGAAACCTTACTTCTTCCTTAGGTCATTCCACAGCCCACTAGGGTTCTGATTTTCAGTAGACCTTCTGCCCACCTGATTAAAGGCACTTGTCTTGTTTTATATTGTAGTCTTTGATAATAAATCCCTGATATTTTTCCATCATACCATCATTTGTGTCTATTGAAAATTTAGCTGGGAAAAAAGGAAACAACAGTCAATGGAAAAACTTCTGGACTGCACATATATTTTTATTTTATCATGTGAATCTAAGGTTTGCATGCAAGGGAAATAAAGAAGACCTGTTGTTGCTCATAGAGGGGAAAAGTTAAATCATGTTTTCATGGATCAAATAGTCAGATATCCCAAGGTTATTTTCTTTTATCTTTTTCTTTTTACAAAGTTTCCATAGTTATTTGGCAACACCGCAACAGTCTAGTTGATCTGATTGCTCTTCTTGAGGTCCACATTTTGTAGCTTGGTGGCTTTCCTTTACATATCCAAGCCTCTACAAGGTTGGCTTTCTGGTTTTGTTCTGTATAAAAAGTACAATGCATTATTATTTATGATTGTATACTAAGAGAAAATCCCTCACTAGTTATCTGGTTATACACAATGGTTATGACATATTTTATCAATTATCTGAATGTTTGTTGATTATTGCATTTCTTCATGGGTTTTTTTTCTTGTTTCTGCTTTTTATCTACTAGTATGAATATTTTATTACTACTTTTTTAATAATATCACTAGCCATTCATGTTTCTGTTATAGCATCAGTTATTTTTCTGTAATGTTGTTTTAGCTTATAGTTGACATATTGTCATATTAGTTCAGAGAAGAATCTGTTGACATGCAGCATAATATGTTCCTGTTAGGAAAACAAGTGGCATTTATTTCTCTGTATTATCTGAATTTCTTATTTGTTTTGCAGTCAGATGATGATTGCTGTAACTCATGTGAAGAAGTTCGTGAAGCATATAGAAAGAAGGGATGGGGGCTGTCAAATCCAGATTTGATTGATCAGGTCTGTTGGTATAGAATCCATTGGTTTTGTTTTTGGCTTTTTCTAGTTGTCCCTTATTGAGGCAGGGAATATTGTTAAAAACTGAGGTAATTATCTTCTTCTCTGTCTATTGGGACAATGCAGTGAGGTGAAGGAAGTTTCCTAGTCAGTCTTCCAAAGTAATACCAAAAAAAATAAAATCAGTCTTGCAATGAAATCTGAAAAATTTGTGGGCAGGAAAAGAAGTTTTAAGGCGTCTGACCAAGTCCTTATCATCAAAGGAAGTTATGTAATGCTTCTGGTTGTTTTAACCAAGTTCTTAGCTATGTTTTGACAGTACCATAGTATTCTATATTATAGTCGTCACTAGGACATTACATGAAATTTGCCATAAGATGATGCACACACAAGTCTATGGATTTGCATGCTGATAAGTAATTCTAATATCAACACATTCTCTATTGACATAGTTGTGAATCTCTTAGGGAGCTTTGCTCAGAATGCTGCTCCAATTCTCTGACCACTCTGGAGCCGTGTAACCTCTGAGGAATGTGTGAAAATAGTTGTATTCATCGTAGGTTTAAAATATCAAAACTAGGTATATATTACTTTTTTGTGTTATTTTTTCTGCAGTCTAAATTGTTTACTTCTACAAGAAGTTCAGATTATTTCCTTCACATACAATCAATACAATCACATCTCTTATCTAAAATAATAGGGTGGTGAGTGGGCACATCTCATTCTTTTTTCTTTTTTTTTTAACCTGGAAAACCCCAAATTAATAATCAAAGTACCTGTAAAAGACAATAATGCACCTGCATATTGATTTATATCATTCTAAATAGGGGTCTCTTTTTGTATTTCATCTGGATGCACCTCAGTTGTCAAAAATAGTATGTGCCAAAATCATCCCCCAAAAAATATTGTATCAAGTAATATTAAGATGATACATGGGATTTATGTAGCTAGCCCAAATAAATGGCCCAAGTCTAAGTGACGTTGATAAATCTCCTTAATACTTCCCACCTATTTCCTGTCTCTTTTCTCTATTCCAAACAAAGTTGCAAGTCAGCTTGAAAAACTTCAAAGGAATTTTCTTTGGAGGGGATGGGAAGAGGAGAAAAAAATGCATTTGGTAAGTTGGGAGCAAGTCTGCCTCCCTAAAGGTGAAGGGGGGTTAGGCATAAGGAAGTTGAAATTTTTTAATTTTGCTCTCCTCTGCAAGTGGATTTGGAGATTTGCGGCAGAAAATGATGCCTGGTGGAGATCTCTCATTGCTAGTAAATATGGTGTGGAATGGGGTAATTGGAGAATGAGGGACCCTCTTCCTAATTGGGGAAACTCTTTGTGGAAAGGGATAATGAAGAAATTCTCAGCTCTTGCTGGTGGGGTCTCAAATAAAGTTGGCAATGGTATTAGGACCAAGTTTTAGAAGGACTCTTGGTGCTCGGATGACCCCCTTGCTGATTCCTTTACTCTCCTCTTCTAGTACGCTTCAAATCAAGAGGCTTCAGTTGCAGAGTGCTGTAGTGTATCTGGTGGTTCAGTTCTTTGGTCTCCTTCATTTAGAAGGAACCTTTTCGACTGGGAGGTGGATGAGGTTTTGAATCCGTTGTCCTGTCTTCAGAATCAAGAGTTGGATTTCAGCTCAGAGGATAAGTGGCAGTGGAAGTGGAACTCAGATGATGTGTTCTCTGTCAAGTCTCTGGCTTCTAACCTCTGTAGAAGGGGTGTTTCTGATTTCCCTTGTCCTCAGATGTGGAATCCCACCAGCCCAACTAAATCTAACTTCCTAGTTTGGGCTATGGCTTTAAATAAATGTCTTACTAGAGCTAACCTTGTGAGAAGGGGCATTCAGCTTTTGGACCTGTCATGCAGCCTGTGTGGGAGTCGTGCTGAATCTACTGATCATTTGTGCATTCACTGCCCGTTTTCTTCTCAACTGTGGAATCATTTCTTCAGCTCTATGAACTTAAGTTGGGTCATGCCAAGCTCGGTTAAGGAGCTGTTGTGTTGCTGGAAGCTCATGGGGTTGAGCAAGAAAAGAAGATTGTTTGGAAGACTATTCCTAATGCTGTGTTATGGTCCATCTGGTCTGAGAGGAATAGAAGGATATTCTGTAACAACGCTTTAAGTTTGGATGAGCTAATTCAGAAAGCAGTGGCAAACTGATGTCTTGGGTGTCTGTCCTGAGGATTTCAGAAATTGTAATGTGTCTGCTGTTTTTCTTTCTAGTTCTTGGTGGAATGTGTAATTGCTGATTAGATCAGTCGGCCTTTCAGGGACTGATCTCAGCCTCCCTCGTGTATCTCTTATCTCAATAAATATTACTTTACCTTTCCAAAAAAAAAGCATTAGTCCAGAATGGGAAAATAGCTTTTTAAATAACCTCCATACATGTATTGTTAGGGTGGTGTAAATATAGAAGTACCTAATTGAGGTTATCTGAAGAAATAAGTAATAAATGATTAATCTTGTGTAAGGGGAATGATGACATGTGAATTTGGAGAACTGCCCATTTCACATATAGTAGAGAAACTCAGCCCATTTCACATAGAGGAAGTATGTGCATACGTGCCCCATTTCCATTACCTGGTGTAATGGTTAAAATCTTGAGCTGACAAGCATGAGAACTCGTGTTCAAGTTTGACAACAGCCTTTTTGTGCTGGAAAAAATGTCCAAAGGTTAGGTCTGTATCCAGTCCACCACCTCCAAGACCCTAGATATCTAGGACCAACATCGGTTAATCTCCTTATTTATGTATACCCTTTTTCCTCTGTAAATTTAATGTAAATCATAGCATACTAAAAAATAAGTCTTGTCAGAATCATGTAATAATTGATATTTCTGAAAAACATGGTTTGGTTAATGTGAGGCATATGAAGCATTGGGTGGGGCCATATTGAAGGTGAAGCCCGATTCAATCCAAGCATTTGCTTTTTGATTGAATAACACGAGGTTTTATTAACAGGAGTATAAAGCAATCTTAGGGCCAAGTGAACTAGTATAAAGAAGGCATTTAGAAAGAATATGCTCATTCGGGACCAAATTCCAGTGCCTGTACACCACCCAAGATCCTGTTTGATCCTCAAGAAAGCATGTAGGTGTAGTCGTATGAGACTACTAACAGCCCAAGCTGTGGTGTATAATCAATAGGAAATTAAGAAGATGAGAGGAGAGAATGAGAGGAGAAAGAGAGACGAAGAATTCAAAGGAAGGGTTTCAGAAAAGAAGAGGATGCTCAATCTGCCGCCCCCCTCTTTCTATTTATATTAATTCTGAAGTAAGGATAAGACTGCTTACATGGCAAAAATAATATCCTAATAAAAGACTAATAACTAATTGTGGACTGACTTAAATAACTAATAGTTGTATACGAGTACAATAGAAAGAGGTGGGGACCACATCAGTGGTTTCTACAGTAGGATTTAGAATAATATGATAATATCATTGTATATAGCTTGTAAATGTGAGAAATGTACCACAATAGGAAAAAAGCTTGTAAACGTGAGGAGCATTGGAAAAAAGCTTTCAACTTGCAGTGAAAGCATGATCAGATCAGATTTTTTTGAAATGATGGTTCTTTTCTATATTTGCTGATATAATTGTCTATGCACTGGTTTTCTTTGTTTGTTTATTTATTTTCTAATTCCTATTTTGTGATATTTAGTGCAAAAGAGAAGGATTTCTTCAAAAAATTAAAGACGAAGATGGTGAAGGATGCAATATTTATGGGTTCTTGGAAGTTAACAAGGTGGCTGGAAATTTTCATTTTGCCCCTGGCAAAAGCTTTCAACAGTCAAATGTTCATGTACATGATTTGCTGGCTTTCCAGAAGGATAGTTTCAATGTAAGGAAAAACTCTACTGATTAAAATTCTTAGAGCAAAAGTGAAGTCATATTGACAATATAATGTTTTCTATACCTGTATGTAAAAGAGGGGGGTTAACCCTCTTTGTGGTCAACCCTTTCTTCCTTGGTTCGACCTGAATCCCTTTTCTTCTATTTCAATTTTTCTTACTTCCATGTATCCAGACCCATAGCTTACGCAACCCATGTACATCAGGCTAGTTTTAATAAATAAGAAATTTAATTTATTTGTAGAATCTTTTCCCCTCACATTCTATTGAGACAACTATCTAATTTATTCTTTGTGATACAGATTAGTCACAAAATAAACAGATTAGCTTTCGGTGAATATTTCCCAGGCATTGTGAATCCTCTTGACAGGTAATCCTCTCCTCCATTTTACTGAATGATTCAATCATATGAAATGCTTAATCCTCTATGTTCTATGCCAACTTGTGATATTATTCATGTATTTGCACTCATTTTTTGTTGCTAAAATTTACAGGGTGCAATGGGTGCAACAAACACCAAGCGGAATGTATCAGTATTTCATCAAGGTTAGTTTTTTGGTCGTCTCCAATAGGAATTAAGATATTGGTTTAAGGATTGGGTTTCTTGTGATTCTTAGCATATATGTTCATGATCCTAACACATCCATGGATACCTTAATTTTCAATCTTATACCCTGAAACTGATTGGTGCTTTTCTTCGGTTATTTTAACTGTTGAAATTTTGATTTTTGTTTTTAAATTCAGGTTCATGATCCTAATACATCCATGGATACCTTAATTCTCAATCTTATACCCTGCAACTAATTGGATCTTTTCTTCAGTTTTTTTAACTGTTGAAATTTTGATTTTTGTTTTTAAGTTCAGAGAATGACTTGGGCAAAGCCAGAAGGTGAGGTTTTTTTTTCCTGAAACTTTGTCCTATGAATAGATTAGGAATTTAGGATAGTAGATTGTGGTTCCTTGCTGGGTCTAACCATGCTATCCTAGGTTGTCTCAACTCTGGACTCCTTGTCGAAAATATTCCACCAACAAACCTGTACCTATACATATTATTGTCCTCTCCTGACTCCTGAGGGCCTCATTGGAGTCTCTCTCTACTTACAGATGGAAGTAAGCATGCATGGAAAAGACTAAAATACCTATAACCTATGCTACCAATCAAATAAATAAATAAACAAAGGAGATTAGCTCAAGAATTGCCACCATTATAAGCTTCCTGAAAATCTAAGATGCATATTAATCTTTAAGTAAACTTAAAATTGTATTAGTTACAAAGGAACGCAAATATAAGTAGAAAGTGCAAGAGTCATCAAAAGAGGTGCAATGGGCAACCCATGCCCCCTCCTCATTGTAGGAAAAGAAGGTCCAACCTGTAACATTTTGCCCGACTGTCTACTTCTGGTTGTTTGTGCCCCCCCCCCCCCCTTTCTAGTCTTTCAATCGTCACCCCTCCATGATGTATTTTTCAAATCTCATTAAAAATGCTATCTGATCCCTTGAATAAGTTAAAATAGTTTCTCTCTCCCAGGCATGTTAAGAAAAGGAAAGCAAGTGTGGTCTGTTATTCCCTGTGCAGTATTGTGGGCTATATGGATGGAGAGGAACAATATGGTCTTTGAGCAAAAAGCTAAGTCTGAGGCTGGGGTAATCAACTTCATAGTGGAAGAGCTTAGGAGTTGGTTGATCTTCTCTGATGTATTTAAAGATGAAGTTTTTTTCTGATACTTTTTCGAGGGTGGATTTTATTTTTTATTTTTTTTGGGTTGGGGGGGGGAGGTCCTAATACTGGTTAAACTTGTATAGTTTCTCATTGTTAAAGACCTTATACTTTTGATTCTAATACAACACCTTTTCCTAGAAAAAATAGTTCTTCTCATTGACTTAGCCAAGCCTACTTGCCCCAAGTATAGAAAGGTGATGATACTATTGCTTTCTGTGAATGTTCTAGGTCAAAGCAATGCTTGATGGTGTAGGTTTGCACACAACTTATTTGTGTATGGACATGTCTAAGAGTTACCCAAGGTTCTGGGGGTAATGTTTTTCAGATGTTTACTAGGATTCTCTATCTATTTTGCAGGTTGTCCCCACTGTATACACTGATGTAAATGGGCACACTATCCAATCAAATCAGGTTTGTCTGTACATATCACCATTGTACCTCTAGTGAAATTCATTTATTTAATCCGATCTGAGGTGCATTAGCATGGTCATTGTGCAGTTCTCTGTAACCGAGCATTTTAGGAATGCAGAATTCGGAAGACCTCAGTCTCTTCCTGGAGTTTTCTTCTTTTATGACCTTTCCCCAATTAAGGTATGTCCTGCCTGTATTACCATATTTATCCCAAGTTTTACATCTTATTCCTTATGATGTGGCTAGTTCCTCAGGTGAGTGATGGAGAATTTCAAGTTTTGCTAATTAGTTAGGAGCCACTTTTTAGTGTTATATTTTTCCTTTTTTTTTCAACCTTGTGCTTTGTTTATTTCCACTGTAATCATTGGAATGCATAGTGCAAGTTTATCTAGGCTCTACATGTCATAATGTGTATATGTGGTACCATACTTGGCAGCGCTGGTAAATCAGCTAAGTTAGTTTTATATAATAAAATGTATCATTTGCATTCTAAAAAAAATATTAGTTACTAACTTGATGGTTTATCCATGTAATATAGGTTTATAAATTATAAGAAAATATGTAGTTTTCTTTGTTATTATTTTTGGAGAAAATATTGAGATTAATTATTGCGCACTCTCCCTACTTTTTCTTTCAAACCAAACACAGCCTAAATGCTTAAATGATATCTAAAATCATTGAGGAAAAAAAGTAGTGTACGATATATGATTAATAGTTAATATTAACATAACCACTAAATGCAAGGCAATGTTAATGTCAGATTTTATTATTCTCATGTCTTTCTGCAGCTTATGTGATTGTATATTGCAGGTGACCTTCACAGAGGAACATGTGTCATTCTTACACTTCCTGACTAGTGTTTGTGCTATAGTTGGAGGTACTCTCTCTCTCTCTCAGACACAAGCTCTTCCGTTGAGCAAGTATAAAAGTTGATTGATTCTTGATTTCCTTGTGCAACTGACTGCTCTTTCCAAGAGGAATATGACTACATATTTAGTACATGGATACAGTCAACAAACGAAGAAATCGAAAGGTTGTCTGGTGGTGGTGGATAATGGAGAGTTGAAACAAAAGAACAGAAAAACTTCTATATATAATATTTTTTACTGGAAATATAATATCCTTCTCGGCTATAAGCAATTATATTGGGTGTTTATTGGAGTTCCTAGGGCTGTTCACGGTCGGGTTGGGTCGGTTTACTGGTGTTTTTCCAACCGACCCAACCTGGTCGGGTTGCCTAAAGATGAAACCAAAACCGACCCTGTACTAAGAAAAACCGACCTGGTCGGTTTGGGTCAGTTTTGTGATATTCAAAGTATCTCTTGGCCTTAAAGATCCAATATCAAGAAAAGAGGTAACTGAAGTTAAAATCAACGCCAATACCAAGAAAAGAAGAATCAAAGAGAGTTAGAGAAAGAATGAAATTTGGAAACTGGAAGAAGACTTCTAATCTAAGAAAAAAATGACACCTATTTGTCATTGCCTATTTGGTGTAAAAGACCTTAGAAAGTAGAGATCCTTTATTTAAACCTTTCCAAAAAATGCAAGCTATCAAGCTAATTTTTCTAAAGGAGTAAAGGTGTAGGGAGTAGGACTAGGGATTCCTTGCCTTGCAATACTTGCCATTAATGGCATTCCTAAAGAGAAGACTAGGAACTAAGTTAGGTTGTAACTAGGATAGAGACAACCTAGTTAAGTAATAATTAATAAGTAATAAGTAGTTATATAACTCGGTTCGGTTTTGGTTTTCACACAGGAAAACTGAAACTGAACTGAATGGTCGGTTTACCAATTTTTACAACCCGAAACCAACCAGTGGTGAAGAAAAACCAGCCGACTCAGATTGGGTCGGACCGAGTTGGTCGGTTTGGGTCTTGTTATGAACAGCCCTAGGAGTTCCTTTATCATTGTTAAAATTCCCACCCCCGTGTTAGTGGTTATATGAATATAGGTCTTTAACTTTTCGTCTTCTGATTCATGCAGCTAGCATATGAATTTTCTAATCTTCCAACATGATAAAATTGTCTCTCAACTGTTTTTTCAGAAGTTTGTAATAATTTGTTTTTCAGAAGTTGCATAATTTCATATTCAACTCTGAGGTTTCCTTTTCTGCAGCTCTAAAAGGGTGTAACTGGCTGTTTAAAATCCCGCTAATCTCTTGTTTCTTGAGAACTGAGCAATTCCAAATAACTTTTTTGTGAAGTTTCCATATAGCAAGTTTCAATATCTAATCCTGAAATGTGAATCTTATTCATGTTAAGCTCTAATAGTGTGGTTTTCATTTATTTTTTATGGGGCAAATTATAATAACCCGCTTGTTTGTTATGTCCAGGCATTTTCACTGTTTCTGGAATAGTAGATTCATTTATATACCATGGCCAGAAGGCAATAAAGAAGAAGATGGAAATTGGCAAATTCAGCTGATGTTTTCGCCATTGCATTTCATGTTTCAGTCTTGTTGGCCCACTTGATGTTGCACATGGCCATGGCTTTCTGTGGAAAATTGATGAATGGAAAGAGAACCGATAGAATGGGTTTCCCCTACAACTAGAAATGTCGTCCTTCAAATGAGATTTTTTTTTTTTTTTAAATTTTGTTATTCTAACAACTTTTCTCAAGTTTTTGTCATTAAACTGGCAATGTATTTCTATTTGAAAGTAGAGGGCAATGGGTGCCTTTATCAAGAAGACTGCTTAATACCTCTCCTGAAACCGTTGTAGTTGATCAGTTTCGGAAATTAAATAGTTGCTTGTGCAGTTGAGTGCCCATCTAGATCTTTTCCACACTTGTTTATTTATTCATTTATAGAAAGTACTACTGATGCAGTTGCAACATTTCCTGACGATTGATGCAGTGCAAAAATCCTTTACGGGGTGAACCTTATTTTTTTTTTGGTCAGATTTTTGGGGTGAATATTGCATGTTATCTTATGATTTGTCCTTTCATCTCTATAATCAACAGTAAGGAGCTCGTGCAATGCAAATGACTCTGTTTGTGCTGCTAGTATCTTTTTGCGACAAGCTCTTATTTCAGTGTTGTCGGTCTCGGCCTCAAGGGTTGGACCCAGTGTCTGAACTGGTTAGTGGGTGATCCAGTCAAATTACGGTTTTCTCGTCTGGTCCCAGTCTGATAACATTGCTTTGGATTTTAGACGTTTCTAGCAACAGAAGGGAATGGTGGGTATCGTATATGGTTGGGATAAGACTTGGATGATAATCGATGAATAAAACAGTAAAAATGGTAGTGAATGAAATTATTACGATGTGATAGACTGATGGGGATGTAAGGATAGATAAACCAAAGTTTCTGTGATTGCTTTGTCTCACTGAATCAGAGGATCATTGCTAATAGATTGTTCAAGTGTATAACCAAGTTGGTTCTTATTATTAAAATAAATCAGGGTTCATTTCATTCGATTGTAGAACAATAATTTCTAGGGGCCTACCGCCACTCACTTTACTGCAAGTTGTTTGTATTGGTAATGATACCAAGCAGAACTTTGCTATGAAAGTATGAATTATTTTATATTCAAGATAACGTTGGAATCTGAGAATTTCCTTTGGTAAGATGGTTTTGGAATCTTAGGGTTTGTATGGCCCATAGTGTGTCATTATATGGTAGTATTGGGACAACCTGTGCCCCACATCTGCAGAAACCAACCAACCATTCTGTAAAACCAAATTCCTAATTTTACTTAAAAAGGATTTATTTGCCAAATGACGTGGAGCTTTGTTGCCAAGGATTCGTCCATGAAAGGCTTTGGAACAAATTTGCCGAAGTACTTAACTGTTAGTTTTGTGAGTCCGGCTTGAGTCAGGGCAAAGCCCGTTCCAACAATCTTTACGATTAGAAATATCTCCATACTTGTGAGGTTACAAGGGGCTGCTGGAACGGTGCGAGCACCGACTTGCCCTGACAGAAGCCGAACAATAGTTTTGCCTGTTTCTGCCAATTGGCTTCGCAGTTTCAAATGAGGTGAGGACAGTGTGACCCATTTCAATTTCATGCCTTACCTTGGTCAATGGTCAAGGGAATTCCATGGGCCACTGATGGTCCCTAGTTAAAACTGGTACTCTGCTCGGTATGGGTTGCCATCTTATTTTCATCTTCATTGGGCTATCGCAACTACTAGAATGTCTCCTTATGGGATCTACAACGTACCAGACCCAGAGAGTGGAGAACCATAACCATATCCATTATTTGTATCCATTTGGTGACATAGTGCAGCACCACGTGAACTTGGACTGTCAAGTAGCCAATCTGGTCAAAATAATTAATGCAAGATTTTGAAAGAAGATGGAAGATGCCCATTATTCAGTTTTTGAATTGAAATGACATTTGTCCAATCACTCTTGTCAATATTTAACACCGATAGTAACATTAGGAACAGCACCTAATCGTGCTGAGGTTCTGTGATAAAACTGGATATTTATCTATAGCTTCTTTATGTAACTTGACAAGAAGTTGTTGTCCGGATTATGAACTTTTTCAGTTTCAGGCTGGTTCTTCATCATCAACTAGTTTTGTAGGCCAGCTGCCTCAATCTGTAGTAGATGGAAACTCGAGACTCAGACATGGTGGCCGTGGACAACTGATTCAGTAGGAAATGGGCAAAAAGATACAAAGTTAAAAGGTGAGAGAAAAAAAGTTAAAAAACATTCTTTCTCTTCTAGAAAGAGTAAGAGAGCTCTGTTTAAGGTGAGTTTGAGTAACATCCAGCACTCCAACTAACCCCCCATTGGGGGTCTTCGATCAATTTGGTGTATAGCCACATTTCAATCACGTACAGACAAAAAGGGAAGAGAGGTGGTTGAACCTCTTAAATCTCTTATGGGAATGACGTATGCATCACCACATATAAAGACACACAATCCACTTGTCAATTGCAAGGAAAGCTCCATGGTAACTTTCTCATAAGTCATAGCATGGGCAGCAGTTGCAGTTGGCCACCATTCCCTTTTCTGCATTTTCATTTTCAAATTCTACTTGTGCAAACTAAATCCTAGGGTGAAGCCCATGGTTATCTTCAGAACGGGTTCAGATAACAAAGCGGGATTCTTTCTTCAGTTCAATTTTGATTACCAATTTTCCAAAAAGCCAGTGGATCAACTATGAGTGAATGAGGAGATAAGATTTGGAAGGGAGAGAATCATGTTTTAAAAAGTAAAACAAATCGAATCAGGCCGGTCCCGATTCTTATGTGCGCCAGCCAGTTATTAGGCTTTCTGTAAACGGGTATTTCATCCTTTGATTGCAAAATAGTGTGGACTCATCCGTTCAAAGCATCTCTCTGCTTCTCCATTATTAATATAGAGTGTTCATATTAACTGAAAATGTAGATGATGAGGCAGAGCCCCAGCTTTACTGAAAAGTCGAGATTCTTTGCCCATGTTATTGATGAAAACCACATCATTGACATGGATGAATATACCTTTTGCTGACACGTAAAGTAAGAGAACCCCACTTGCACTTGGGTGTTATGGGTCTCCATCTACAACACTGTATTTGTATTCTCTTGATCCTCCCCCCATTGAGTTCACACTGTATTTCAGTAGTTGCTCATCATGTGTGGAGCTTTTTCATCCATGGATAAACAATATATACAAACTGAAAGAATCGATATATTAAATTTACAAACAAAAGACAAAGTTGGAAGTGAAAGTGAAAGGACGTTGTTTGGCTTCAAGGCAAGATTTCCTCCTGATGGTCTGTCCGAGCACTCCAGAATGAGAATGGCCGTGTGAACTCGGGTTGGCAATTTGAGAAGGAAGAATGAGAATAAAGAGGTGAGGACTGAGGTGGTGGCTTCCAAATTCCTTTTGTCTTAAGAGAGACGTGGCACTATATTAACACGTAAGGTTAAAAAGTAGGCCGCCAAGCAACGACTCATGGTTTTACTGTTAATAGGGTTCCCACCTGCGACTACGAGTGGGTTTTCTCAAGCCTCAAGGTCGAGTAGCAATTTCCTTACAAAAGGTGGAGAATTCCAGATTCCAGATAGGGGTGCTCAAAAAATTCAAAAATCAAACCAACTTGAGAAAATCTAATAAAAAAATCTGGTTAATTGAATCGATTTTGGTTTGATATTTTTGAAAAATCAAATGACCCATTCAATTTTTTATTAATGATACTTGGAGAAGACTAACAATTCAAATTTAGTGTGCCCATGCCCATGGATAGATACCCCAGCCAGTTACCCGACTGTCCAACCCCAGTTGATAAAACCAAGAGAGCTCAACATTATTACATGGTGAAGCTGAAAAGGGCAAAGATTTTAGAATCATGTTGGGTTCTTGTTATTGTCCGCAATAATAAGGTATGGATATTATTCCTTGTGGGTCCGGAACCATGGGCCTGTATAGAAATGGACCCAGCGATGACTACAACTGCCATTTTCTTTAGTATGAGGGCCCTCTTGAGTCTTGACCAAGAGAAGATCCAATTGATGTCTGTAGGAAGGTTTAAGGCCTATGGCCCTATGGCTACTGTAGCGTAAGTACATCTTGACCCGACCCGCCGAGCCCGAGTATTCTTGTATCACGCTTCTGCCTGCCTTCTGGTTTGACAATTGTTTTGGGGTTTTAAGATGGGAGGGAGTGCAAGTTGGACCGGTATATCTCGGAGTTCGTCAGTTGAGGTGGTCGATCATAATCCAACGTTGGTTTATTTAATTGGTATGTTAGGATTCGATTTCTGCAACCCTAACCAAATTGAATTCAGGTGATATTTTGCTTCAACTGTAACCCAATCCAACCCACCTTTTTGTGGAGGTACATCCATCCGATCATTCATCCCGTTGTGCTCAGCGACGTTCTCAAAGCCAGAAAAAACAGTGCTGACCAATCAACCCCTCTTCTTGGTTACAAATTATCACTCTCCTTTTATGGTACGTACCGATACGGTCTATTCGTTACAAGTTTTTTTCCGGTAACGTTGTCGAACCCCACTCTTAAAAGCATTTATGAAGAAATATGATGCGTCCATGGTAAGTCGGTTGGTAACCCAACCTTATCTCTACCATTTGGCAAGCAATCCACATGCTCACTAGCCTTTGGATTGGGATTTGGTAGGGAGGCCAAAAAATGAAACAGAACACTGAGATCTAATCTCTCTCTCTCTCTCTATTCATACAAATTACAAATTTACTACAATAACATACATACAAATTACAAAGATCACAGATTATAGTACTACACAAGAATAAGAGAATCTCACTTGTTCCCTTATTTCTTCAATACTAAAAAACCAGCAGACCAGATGGGCGGGGAGAGACATTACACACAATATTACATACATAACAACTCTTACACTGACACTAATCTCCACTACTTCTTAATTAAACCTGCTGCTGATTCATTTATCCTAACCACTAACCAGTAGCCCCTGCTTTTGCTAAAAACCCATTGCAGTGGCTATACTGCCTATTTGATGTACCAATTTAACGCACCCCCCCCCCCAAAAAAAAAAAAAAAAAAATTCAAAAGTTAAAAAAGAACCATCTAGAAACTGAAATTAAACAGGCCTACGACACATTAATTTAAGCCAGGATAGATTCCCAGTCGATCTCCAACGAAGGGAATTTCTGCAACTGAAAGCTCTCCCACTCATCCCATGGCGGCTCTGTGAAATCCGGAAACTTGATATCGGACTCAGGTGAAGACCCTGCAGACTCATCGCTCTCTGTTAAACATGGCGACAAGGAGTTCTCCACCTTGCAATCCTCCAATCCCGGAAACCCCGATTCGCCTTGAGAAGAATCCACCGAAACAGTTTTCCGCTGCGGCTGAGCCGGTGACACGGTCGAACCTGCCTGCGTTTGCCCGGCCGTCGTCTTTTTGGTGTCAGCAACGACCACGGGCTTACCCAAGCTCCCCTGTTTCTGCGAATTGGCCAAGCTTTGACAAATCGCTTGAAGCTTCGCATCCACGGAGGATTGGAGAGGCTTGTAATCGCCGAATTCCCCTCCGACGTAAGCTCCTTGGTGCCGGAGGTTTGGAAAGTTCAGCCTTGCAAACTCTCCCCTCAGCTTGTAAGCGGCCTTATCATAAGCCAAAGCCGCTTCCTCGGCGGTATCGAAGGTGCCCAGCCAAAGCCGGGTGCGGTTCTTCGGCAGACGGATCTCAGCAACCCACTTCCCCCAATGCCGTTGTCTTACCCCTCTATAAAGCTTGGTGGGCTTTGGTGGACTTGGAGAGCCCACATGCTTCATCGGGATGGTTCTTGGACCGAGGAAATTCAGGGTATTTTGCTGATGTTGTTGCTGCTGCCATTGCCTTGTGCTTGAATTCTGGTTCTGAATGGAGACTGCTGCCAAGGCAGCCATCCGCTGCTGCTGTTGTTGTTGGATCTGGACCTGGGCTTGGATTTGCTGGATCTGAGATAGGCTAAGCTGGTTAAGCCCGATTGAACTCGAATGCTCAAGACCCAGTAGGTCATGGCTCGAGAACCCTTGAGAAAACATATGGGTTGTCGATGTTGAGCAAAAACTCGAGTCTGGACTGGTGTAGGAAGGGATTGAAGAAGGGAAATAGCACATAGGGTAAGAGAAGGGGGCACAAGAAGAAGAAGAAGGAGGAGGAGGAGAAGGAGAAGGAGAAGGAGAAGGAGAATAATAAGAAAATGAAGAAGATGAAGATGGATAAGAGGTTGAAGGTGTAGAAGGGATTTCAGAGGAGCTTGGTGAAGCACCTTTGATAAAAGGTTCCAGTGCTTTCATGAGCTCCTCCCTAATGGGATCTGAAAAAACAGGGCCACTGCTACTGCAAATATCTATAGCTGCTGCCATGCCTTCTTAACGATGATGAAAATGGAAATTTGTATATTAGAAAAAAAAAGGTAAACAAGAGGAGAAAATTTGCAAAAGATTCTAAAAGCAACCTGCTTCTTACCAAAACTAAAGAACCAGGTAAAAGTTTTGTAAAAAAAAGATCAAAGAGGTTTAAGCAAAAGAAAACCTCTAGAACTAAGAAAATCAACAGGAGGGACAGAAAAACAACCCTCTTGGTTGATGAAACGAAAAGAAAAAGCAGATCTAAGCTAACATAAAAGAATTTGACTAAAAAAAAGAAGGAAAACCTGGATCTCTATTCTGAACCACCCGACTTCCAAAAACCATTCAAAGTTTGCTTTTTTTTCCTGCGCAAAATCCCAACAAAAAAAAAAACAAACCCAAAAACAAATTTTGAAAGACAGACGATGACAGAAAGGGAGACCAAGAAGCGGGAATTAGAGAGGAGGGAGGGAGAAGAGAAGAAGAAAACCGATCAAAACAATTGAAGAAGAAAGCAGAAAATTATCTCTCAAGCGAGATTGATTTTTTTTCTATTTCGCTCAACCTCACCTTTGGTTGTTTACCTCTGCAGCAGTCTGTATTGCACAATCTCCTTATATAATCATCCGGGAGTTGGCCTTCTCTCTCTTGAATTCATAGTTAATTTCCTGTTTCTCTCTCTAAGCTCACCTAATTAACAAGCTCTCTCTCCTGCTGTCAACTTCGGCTATGACGCAAGTCTCCTCCAATCAATGTACTTACACCAACGAGGAGTGGACACGTACCAGTACCAACCGACACTTGTCGGTATTAACCGGAAGGTGTCCATCATTTTTATACGTGGCGAACTTTGGTTCATGAACCAACATGTTGACTGAATTCCGCGTTCTCATTAAGTGGGCTTTTAAGTCTTTTATTGTCCGTAAAAAAACCGTAGCACAAGGTATAAAAAGAAAAAGATAGAATACATTTTTTTTTCGCTTCGTGGGTTACACAACAGGGCGGTAGACTTACTGTTAATAGTCCGGGTCGGGCTTTTATTATTTATGAATGGAAATTTGTTAGGTCCGAACTGATTTCAATAGTGATCATTTCACGTCTAAGAAGAGAGAAAAAGAAAGAAGAGAAATGACGAACGTTCATGAGGACTGAGGAGGATGTGAAGACTGAAGAAAAGAAAGGTTCAGCTGGAAAGAGGTGAAATAGGTGAAAGAGAAGAGGGATTTCACTAGAGATTTTTAACTTTAATCTATAAATCAGGTTATGCCGAGCTATTTTGGCAAATCCTAAACATAGCTCAAATTTATTACGGGCTAAGCTTTTTAGCCCGGGGTTAATCCGGCGAACTCTTTTGCGTGTTCAAGCCTATCCGGGGTTAAACAAGGGGTAACACATTTGGTGGCAGCGGATTTAATCCCAGGTCTCTACTCTACTCCGCTGTACGAAATCTCCAAGCTCCAGGAGATTGATAAGATGACAAGAAAAGATGAAAGGAGCTTGTTTGTGTTTGGATGGGGGCCAGAGGTGATGTTGTGAAGGCCAAAGAAATATAAGACGAGGGAGGAAGAAGGATGAGGAGAAGGGTCTAGAATAGATAGCCAAGTAATGTAATTGTTTAACATTTTGGGAGCTTATCCTAACAGAACAACCAAACTCTCTCATCTCATCTGGTGGAATGTGGTTGATTAAAATATTATAAATTTATTAAATGATTGGTTGGAGAGGCGGAGAAGGTAGGAAGATGGGAAAGGGGTAGTTCATGAATTCATTAATTAATTAGTTTATTTATTTATGAAACTGAAGGAGGTTATGCTGACCATGGGTAGAAAGCATCATGGTTAACTAAACTCAAGAGTCATGAGGGTGTGGCCGTGATCGAGTTTGGGGGGATTGGAACCTGGAGTGGAGTTGGGTGCCCCTTCGATTTCTAGTAAAAGAGTGATAACACACTTGCAAGTTCTAACACGGCAATCGAGCCGTACATTGAGAACATCTCTCCCATTCAATTCTCGAGTAATGAGTATGGGGTTGGTTGCTGGATTTGGGAAATAAAGGTGATGAGCAAGATTGTCAGTTACGGCGCATGACACTCTGGTAGCCTGGTAGTAGTGGTAGGGTGGGGCCGGGGGAGAAGCCTTGGCTTTTACGGCCTCGAAAGTCGAAACCGGTATCTACCACTTTTTGGTTTCATTCGTTTTGATTCCATTCCATCTGAACCGCACAACCAAGCAAATTCTCTACAACAACTAAAAACTTAAGGGGGTGTTTATGAATCACTGAATTGTGAATTGTGATGTATTCCACTTTGATTGATAGTTTGCGTTTGAGAGATTCCCATTTCCGAGTTGGAAAGCAAAGAGGAAAAGATGTATTTTGGGGGCTTTTGAATTTTGATTTTAAAAACGAAACCCCAACTCCCAAGTCCCAAGTCCAAGCATGCATGCTTGAGATGAAAGTTAATTCAGGGTTCACAAGTCAAAAGTTGCGGAACAGATGGGAGCAGGCTGTCTGTGTCTGCAAGTCTGGAACCATCTCACGTTCGTGGGCCCGCCCTATACCTTCTTGTGTTAATGCTCCCCCCACTACTATTCCACCCCAGCAGCAAATTCACTCTTTCCCCCTGTCGTCGTTTCTCATCATTTCTTTCGATTTTTCGCTATCCCTCTCTTTTGTTTTTTTTTTTTTTTCCAAAATTAATACACCTTCTTCGTTCAATTCTTTTAAATAAGCCAATATAATTAAAGGATCTTTTCACGAGTTATTCAAGTTTGTTCATGAAAAACTCAATTTGGTACAATCTAATTTTGAATCGAACTCAATTCCGACTTATTTGCTAATCTAATTGATATTTGGCTTGTGAGACTCGTAACCTTAACCCAGCCTATATTATATGTAATACTTTTAATTATATATATATATAGAAAATAATAAACAATTTTTATATGAATAATTGTTAATTTTTTATATATGAAAGCTTGATTCATTATTGAATTCGATTTGAACCAAACTCGAATATATGAACTTTGAGTGGAGCCGAATTCAAGTTCATATCTATACTTTGAATCGAGCTGAGACCCAAACTTGAACATGATGGTCTTCTGTCAAACTAAGCATGAATCCACCCCTAAACATGATTGCGTCAAACAAAAATAACCATTCAAAGTGGATCAGAGATGAGAAAAGACGATCCGGCACAGAGCAATATTTAAGAACTAATGAATACAGAACCACATATCTATACGTCTTTCTCACTCTTTTTTATCTTTATTTCACAAGTCACAAGTAGACCTGTAACTTGGTTGGGCTGGCTTTTATCTCTTTATCAACAAAAAATGTATAAGTTCAAGTCTAAATGTGGCTTAGCTTGACCATCAAGTTTAAATTTTCAGCCTGAGCCCGACTTTTATATAAAGTCCAAAGCTCAACCTGTATACAAAATGTCCTATTTTTAATATATTTTTATAAATTAATAATTTAATAAACTAATTTATATTTTTTAATAATAGACTAATATGTATTAATAATTTAAGAAATAAATATATTATATATAATAATATTAAATTAAACTAATTTAAGAAAGTTCAAACCCAACCCGAAAAATGATCGAACCTAGTATTTAAAGCATAAACCCGAACCTGCAAACTCACGAGTCACGAGACTAAAATTTTCTCCAAATAACCATCGAACTACCCGGCCTATGAAAGGTATAGTCACAACTCACACACAACACAAGAGAATCGGGATGGATCATGAATGCTGGTGAGGCACATGATTTGAAGGGTATAAAGAGATATTTTGTCTTGTGGCCAATAATACTTTTCGCGTAGAAGCAGCTGCAAGGCAAGTTCCAAAAAGAAAATGAAAAAAATAAAAAAATTAAAGGTCCACTTCATATCAAAGGACCATCTCTTAATTCTTAATAAAAAAATAAAAATCAAAAAGCATGATGATCATAAATATTGCTGTCAATACTTCCCAGTAGAAAGCTACAAGGCAAATTCACAAAAATAAATAAAATGTTCACCTCATAGTAAAGGACCATCTCTTAATTACTAATTTTGAAAATTGGGTTTCAAAAATAAAAAATGAAAATGCATATATAATGAACATGGATAATGTTGTCAAACAAAAATGTGGTGGTGGGTGCCATCACAATATTATTTCCTTTTTGTTAAAGAAGAACAAGGTAGTTTTTAAAATTCATATTATCACTTTTCTATATGTTTTTTTTTTTTTTTATAAAATTTCAGTTATGTATATTTTCCCATATATATTAATTATTTGACATCTAACTAATATATTTTTCATTCAAAAATCCCAAAAAAAACGGCACGTATATATAATAATTTTTTTAGTGGAATATTATGCATATTTGCTAAACAGAAGCATGTTAAAGTAACTTAGGAAGAAGCATTCGATTGGTACTACTATATTTACAATACAAGGTTATTGAGTACTATAATCGGTCTTTTTAAACTGTGATTGACTCAGGTGGTTGAATCGGTGAATTCCTAAATCGGTCGGATGACCGGCTCCTCGTTGTTCTTCATGGATTTTGTCTCTTCTGATTCCTATCCCACGTGACACGTCGACGAATGATGAATGAATCCAAAAGTAAAGGTGTTTTAATTAAGTACGCATCCAAGGTATATACACGCAGTTTTTTGTACTCCAATTTCCAAATCCAAGATAAGAAATTAAAAATAAAACACATTTGATGATACGATTCGTTTTCAAGTCTCAATTCACAGTTTTGATTCGAAAATTCATTTTCTATGTAGGCATTGTCGTGGATAATCTGACACGCCTACTATTAACGATGAACCATGAGAGAACAGAACACAGCACTCATGTATCTGCTAACATGTGAAGTGAGTGATTCAAGAGTATTCTAGAGCCAAGTTAATTAGTTAAATACTTAAATGCATGTACCAAAAACAAATTAATTTAACAAATAGCGTAGGCTCCATTTTCCATTAACACTTCTTTCTCGTTCACCACAGAGTCAGATTGCCATGCATTTCATATATAATTCTAAACAAAGTTATATTATGAAGTATAGAGTAGAGAGCCAAATATTGCTTTCTTTTCTATTCTTGGTACATTAATTTAAGAAACGTATTTTGGCTATATAATTCAGCACAAATATTTATAGAATTTTCAATTTTCTTTTTATTGTCAAACAAAACTATTCTGAGATTTAAATGACGACATTCAATTTACCTATTGATCAACTTAGGGGGGTGTTTAAAAACTTGATTGGTTTTGTTTTTAAAAAACAAAAAGCAACTGCCGCATCAGCAAAAGCAACCAATATAATTTGTTGATGAGGTAGTTGCTTTTGTTTTAAAATCAAACTCAACTATGTTGTAGAATACCCTCTTGGAATCAAAATTAAAATGATCTGTTCCCATAACTTATTTGGTTGGTTCAGATATGAATCAAAATTAGAATTAAAATTAGTTGGAATGAGATCTATCATGAGAGCAAAGGTTGGCCATTCCTTTGAATAAAAGAATAGCATTTCCATTAAGAATGAGAATGAGATTCTGATTCCACCCAACCATATAATTGAAAAGGGAATGGACCATTCCAATTTTAATTCCAAA